CTATCCTAAATACAGGACAAACTTAAATATTGTTCAATAAAAGTCGCACAGAAATATAGAAAAATTAACAAAAATGTAACAAAAAGAATAATGACAGATTTATAACTAAAGCGAAAGAAAATTGTTAACAGAGTTATACAATAAACAAAATAAAGTCATAAATCAAAATACTGGTAAATAAGAGAAATTGTATTAGTGCAATGGCAAAAGCAAACAAGTTAAAAAGTAATCATAAACGATTGACATAAAGCGCATTTTCACTTGCATTCATTTCCCATTTGTAAGATGCAACTTCTGTTAAAATCGTAAAAATCCGGCCACAAATATGAAAGATAGCGTTGCACATGGGCAATCCATTTTTGATTTTGACGTGCTACTTCAAGTTCAGTTTATGAGAAGAATTTCATTTCAATGTTTTTCTAAATAAGAAAGTTGGAACTGCGCATGCGCAAACCTAAATTTTGAAACTAATGTTAGATTTTCCTTTGTTCCAAGCGCCTAAGTATCAAATTTCACTTAAATGCTTCCATAGATAAAAAGTTGGCACTGCGCATGCGCAAAATAAAATTTTGAAACTGGCGCTAGATTTTCCTTTATTCCAAGTGCCTATGTATCACATTTCATTTAAATGCTTCCATAAATAAAAAAGTTGGCACTGCGCATGCGCAAAACCAAATTTTGAAATTGGCGTTTGATTTTCCTTTATCCCATGTGCCTATGTATCAAATTTCGTTTAAATTCTTCCATAAATAAAAAAGTTGGCACTGCGCATGCGCAAAACCAAATTTTGAAATTGCGTTTGATTTTCCTTTATCCCAAGTGCCTATGTATCAAATTTCGTTGAAATTCTTCCATAAATAAAAAAGTTGGCACTGCGCATGCGCAAAACCAAATTTTGAAATTGGCAGTTGATTTTCCTTTATTCCAAGTGCCTATGTATCAAATTTCGTTTAAATTCTTCCATAAATAAAAAAGTTGGCACTGCGCATGCGCAAAACCAAATTTTGAAATTGGCGTTTGATTTTCCCTTATCCCAAGTGCCTATGTATCAAATTTCGTTTAAATTCTTCCATAAATAAAAAAGTTGGCACTGCGCATGCGCAAAACCAAATTTTGAAATTTGCGTTTGATTTTCCTTTATCCCAAGTGCCTATGTATCAAATTTCGTTTAAATTCTTCCATAAATAAAAAAGTTGGCACTGCGCATGCGCAAATCCAAATTTTGAAATTGGCGTTTGATTTTCCTTTATCCCAAGTGCCTATGTATCAAATTTCGTTTAAATTCTTCCATAAATAAAAAGTTGGCACTGCGCATGCGCAAAACCAAATTTTGAAATTGGCGTTTGATTTTCCTTTATTCCAAGTGCCTATGTATCAAATTTCATTCAAATACTTTTATAATTAAAAAAGTTTGCAATTCGGTTTATAAATGGTCGAGATGCGAAAAGGGCACTGTGAATTTTGAATCGATTCGACTCAACTTTTGGCATTGCGTATTATATGGCTAAAGCTATATGCCCACTTTGAATTTCATGCAATTCAGTTAATAACTAACGGAGATGTAAAAGCGATCGGACATTTCTAAACAAAGTTATCGTTCACACGGACAGATACAGGGACAGACAGACAAAGGAACAGACGGACAGACCAACAGACAGACGACAGACAGCAATACAAAGGAATTGTGGCCACTTTGTCCGTCCGTCCGTCTGTCCGTCCGTCCTCTCGTTTTGCGACGCTACTAGTTCTTTATCTTAAGAGCTATTGTTCCACTTTTTTCGCTATTTGGTTCGTTATGGTGTCGAGTCTTGCACCAAGGAAGGAATTTTTTCTGTACCGCTTACAAAAAAAATTATTGTAAAAAAAACAAAAAACCGTTTTTTACATGTTCCATAATTTTACACTTTTGCCGTTTATTAACGATCCTAGAGATCGTTTATAATTTTGCATTGCTATCTGTCGTCTGCATGCTGGTCTGTCCGTCTGTTCCTTTGTCTGTCTGTCCATCTATCTGTCCGTGTGAACGATAACTTTGTTTAGAAATGTTCAATCGCTTTTACATCTCCGTTAGTTATGAACTGAATTGCATGAAATTCAATATGGGCATAGCTTTAGCCATATAATACGCAATGCCAAAAGTTGAATCAAATCGATTCAAAATTCACAGTGCCCTTTTCGCATCTCGACCATTTATAAACCGAATTGCAAACTTTTTTTACTTATAAAAGTATTTGAATGAAATTTGATACATAGGCACTTGGAATAAAGGAAAATCAAACGCCAATTTCAAAATTTGGTTTTGCGCATGCGCAGTGCCAACCTTTTTATTTATGGAAGAATTTAAACGAAATTTGATACATAGGCACTTGGGATAAAGGAAAATCAAACGCCAATTTCAAAATTTGGTTTTGCGCATGCGCAGGGCCAACTTTTTTATTTATGGAAGAATTTAAACGAAATTTGATACATAAGCACTTCGAATAAAGGAAAATCAAACGCCAATTTCAAAATTTGGTTTTGCGCATGCGCAGTGCCAACTTTTTTATTTTTGGAAGAATTTAAACGAAATTTGATACATAGGCACTTGGGATAAAGGAAAATCAAACGCCAATTTCAAAATTTGGTTTTGCGCATGCGCAGTGCCAACTATTTTATTTATGGAAGAATTTAAACGAAATTTGATACATAGGCACTTGGGATAAAGGAAAATCAAACGCCAATTTCAAAATTTGGTTTTGCGCATGCGCAGTGCAAACTTTTTTATTTATGGAAGAATTTAAACGAAATTTGATACATAGGCACTTGGGATAAAGGAAAATCAAACGCCAATTTCAAAATTTGGTTTTGCACATGCGCAGTGCCAACTTTTTTATTTATGGAAGAATTTAAATGAAATGTGATACATAGGCACTTGGAATAAAGGATCATCGAGCGCCAGTCTCAAAATTTTTTTTTGCGCATGCGCAGTGCCAACTTTTTTATCTATGGCACCATTTAAGTGAAATTTGATACTTAGGCGCTTGGAACAAAGGAAAATCTAACATTAGTTTAAAAATTTAGGTTTGCGCATGCGCAGTTCCAACTTTCTTATTTAGAAAAGCATTGAAATGAAATTCTTCTCATAAACTGAAATTGAAGTAACACGTCAAAAATGGATTGCCCAAGTGCAACGCTATCTTTCATATTTGTGGCCGGATTTTTACGATATTAACAGAAGTTGCATCTTATAAATGGGAAATGAATGCAAGTGGAAATGCGCTTTATGTAAATCGTTTACGATTACTTTTGAACTTGTTTATTTTTGTGGAAATGCGCTAAAAAGAAAAAGACAAAAATTATTGGATCATACTTATAAGGAATTTTAAATTAGTATTAAATATATCAACAGTATCGCATACCGAGTTATAATTATGACACATTCGATAAATTGGGGAATTTTGTAAGAGATTTGTTCTGCAATAGGGTAATTTAAAAGTTAGGAAACGGCTGGAGGAAGAACGAGGCACAGAGAAATTTAAATAATTGTGTAATGTGACACAATCAAATTTCATTCCATAATAATTTGTACAAGAACGACACACTTATTCTTTTACGTCTGCTACTTAAGAGTCTTCTTTACCTAAGCGCAACTTTTTTACATTATAGTGTATAGATGATTATAGCTGCAAGAGATAAGATGAATTTCTTGCTTTGTCAACTCCTGTCTTGGTCCTTAGTTAGTTCCCACCGACACTGTGCAGCGGCGCCACTTGTTACACTCAAATTGTTGATTTAACGCCCGCCAAGATACAGACTTTATTTACAAAAATTATGATTTCATTTTTTGGGGTCATGTTTAGAAGCAACTTACCTAAAAAACTGTCGGTTTACTTTTTCCATAAATCGTCTTGATCGAGAGTAAAAAAATAAAACAGATTAGCGCAATAATCAGTGCGAAACATCTAATTTTTAAACAATCTGTATTCAGTTGCTATAAACTTAAAAAAAAAATAGTCCGAACATTTTGTAGATAAAGGTCTAAATTTATAAAATAGTTCTTTAAAAAAATTGTTTTTGTAAAAACAAATAGAGTTTTTATGGCGGGCGCTCTTATGGAAATTTACATTGGGTGCAGTGGGTACAGAAGACTCTTAAGGGTAAAAGATTGAATATTTCTAGCAGTAGATTTTGTGGGTAGCCTCTTGTAGGGTAGTATCCATCACAGCGAAATGCTACATATTTTAAAAGACGACGTTGTATACGTTCTAGGCATTCTTCATGTTTTTTAAATGCTGGATTCCATACTAGTACACCATATTCAAGCTTGCTTCGTACAAATGTAGAAAAAAGTAGGTAGTATAATAGTTGACAAATTTGCAAAATCTGAACCAATGCGTATAATAAAACCTAAGGTTTTAAAAGATTGCCTAACAATTGTATCAATGTGTAAGCTAAATGTTAGCATGTTATCGAACAGAACCCCTAAATCCTTTGTTTGAGTGTCTCTTTTTAAGGGTGTATCTTGAATTTGATAAATGTATCGGATTAATTGACGCTTGCGTGAAAAAGTTACCACCTTGCATTTACCAATGTTCAGGCAAAGAGTGTTACTCTTAATTTGGTTCAGGTACATCCTGTTTGCGTACACCAATTATAAACACTTTCTAAATCGCTTTGAAGGCTCTCGCAATCCTTGTGGCTTGTGACCCTAGTGAAAATTTTTAAGTCATCCGCAAACAATAATCTCTGAGATGAAATTACGGAGGGTAAATCGTTACTGAATATTAAAAAGAGAAAGGGACCAAGAGTTGACCCTTGCGGCACTCCAGATGTAGGAATAAATGATTGTGAGTCATGCCCGTTATAGGAAACAAATTGACGTCGGTTAGTTAGATATGACTTCATTAAATGAACAATAGGGCAACTGAAACCATATTCGACAAGCTTGTTTAAAATAATGTTATGATCAATTTTATCGAAGGCTTTGCTGAAATCTGTGTAAATAACATCAACTTGCTGTCTATTATCTAGTGCTTCAAAACAATATTGCACAAAGCAAGTCAAATTTGTAACAGTTGATCTATTGGGAACGAAACCATGCTGGTAACTAGACAACTGGGTTTTAAATTGTTGATAAAGTTTTTTGTATAGATGCTGTTTCAAAAACTTTGGAGAAGTTGCATAAAATAGATATGGGGCGATAATTTTCAACTTTAGATGCCAAACCTGTTTTTAATATCGGGCACACCTTAGAAACTTTCCAAACAGCTGGAAAAGTCAAATTCAATTGCATATGATAGCATTTAACCTTTTGATCGAAAAGACTATCTTATGATATGTGCGATGTATGACTATCTGTATGACCCTTTCACACTTGACATTATTTAGATCATAAAAAGTCGCAGTAAGCTATAACGTTGAGCGATTGACAACACAAGTGCGTATTTAAAATTTGCGCTATGTTTTTACTTATAGCATTCATCGGTTTTATTGTACTATTCGTGTACTATAAACTGTATTTACCTACTCAGTTTTGGAAAAAGAAGGGAATACCATGTGTTGAACCTTACATGGTCTTTGGAAATTTAGCCCCAGCCGCTTTCAGAAAGAAGACGATAAACGACATAATCCTAGACTCCTGCAAGCAGTTTGAGTCCCATAGGTACGAATAGTTTGGTCTCATTTTTAAGATTTTGTTGGTCTACTCCATACAAGTCAAAAAATGTGCATTTTATTGGAATTGGGACAACCTAAAAATGATAAAATGCACTTGTTTTGAACGACCAGCCTGTCAATTCTTATCTAAATTCTTAGTTTCTACCAAACATAGAATTGTTTAACCAATCATATGCTTTCGCAGATATTTTGGCTTCTATCAATTTCTTGCACCGGCCCTGATCGTTCAAGATATAGATTTGATGAAGCAGATTTGCGTAAAGAGCTTTGATTCGTTCACTGATCGACCGGATTTCATACCCAAGTCGGTCGATCCGTTTTGGAAGAAAACTTTATTTCATCGAGAAGGTAAATCTTTCCAGCAGCAATAATGTATGAAATTGTTTTTAAGGTAAAGACTGGCGCGACCTGCAGTTAGTTCTAAGTCCTGTATTCACCGGTCGTAAAATGAGAGCCATGTTTCAACTAATGTACGAGTGTTCCGAAAATCTCGCCGGCCATTTTCTGGGTGAAAGTGGTACGACTACCGTGGAGATGAAGGACCTATTTACAAGATACACTAACGACGCTACCGCTTCTTGTTTTTACGGCATACAGTGCGACTCTGTAAAGGACAAACGTAATGAATTTTACCTAATGGGCCGAGAGGCTTTTGACTTTGCTGGTTTAAAGTCGATACGCTTTTTCGGTTCTAAGCTGAGCCCCACTTTAATCAAGGTACCTAAGTCACGATGAGGGTTGGAATGTACTAATTTTTCACCCCAGATTCTTAGAATAAAATTCATCGATGACAAAGTAAAACAATTTTTTGAGCGTGTTACTAAAGAAACGATCGAGTACCGTCGACGAACTGGTTTGGTGCGACCAGATATGATTCAATTTCTAACAGAGGCACAAAAGGGTAGGCTGGAGTACGAAGAAGACGATAAAAATGAACATTCGGGTTTTGCCGCAATCGAGGAATCGGATGTAATAAGATCCGATCGTACGAAAAGGATGCCAATTACTGATGAAGACATCGCAACTCAAGTTTTAATTTTTTTCTTTGGAAGTTACGACACCGTTTCCGTGGTATTTTGTCAACTTGCATGCGAATTAGTCGCGAATGCGGATGTCCAAGACAAATTACATAAGGAAATTGACGCAACGTTAAAGGAGTGTAATGGCAAATTGACATACGACTCGCTTATGAATATGAAATACCTAGATATGGTTGTTTCTGGTACAAATTTGTAGTTTAAATTGTATATACTTTAACCAATATTTTCAGAAATACTGCGCTTATGGCCTCCAGCCGTAATGTTAGTTAGACAGTGTGTCAAAGCGTTTAAGATTAATCCCGTTTTCCCACACGAGAAACCCTATACAATTCAACCAGGGGACGAAATTATTATTCCCAGCTACGCAATCCACAGAAATCCCCAATATTACGCCAAACCTGAACAGTTTGATCCCGAAAGGTTTAATGATGAAAATAAGGGTAACATCGGCTTCTGCACCTACCAACCATTTGGCATCGGCCCAAGACACTGCATCGGTGTGTATAGTGCCCCACTTATATAATTGGTAAAATCAACATAGATATTTTTAAAGGTAATAAATTTGCATTAATGGAAGTGAAGACTGGGATTGTAAGCTTGCTCTCGCGATTCCAAATTGTACCAGTCTCTAAGACGGTGATTCCATTTGTCCAAGCTAAGAACAGCATCCCCCTTCGTAGTGCGAATGATTATTGGTTTGGATTAAGGCGAAGAGATAATGGTTTCTATTGAAGAAATTCCCCACCTGGTATATACGTGCTGCGTATATAGTGTGTCGACAAGTTTTATTTACAATAAGTATAGTGACTGATCTATTCTGTTATTTAAGATATTTATAATAATTTCCCAAATTTTTTTTCTCTTTTCGTTCCTCGCTTTTGGGTTCTGGCAATTTGGGAAAGCAAATACATTTTTATTAAGTTTTTTTACGCTAAAACACTATGACTGTGTCACGACATTCTCCCACCTGAGAAACACCCTTTTTTTCAGAAAGTTTTTCTCACAATTTTAAACCAACCTATGTACGATCAACGACAAAAATAACGATAAAATGAAGTTTACTGCCACTTAGGCAGCCAACCATACACTATATTAAATGGCAACATTGAAATGTAAGTTTTGCGCACTGCCTTGAGACACACGCTACCGTAGGAAAAATTGCAACAGTTGGTAAAGCCGGTAATACGAATTATATTTTGGCAAACTTAAGAGACACATTGATATCTTCAATCTTGTTTTTCTTTCAATGAAATCAAAACTGGTTTTTAAGGTTAATTTTGCAAGACTATTTCTTTAAACAATAACTCTTAAGTTTAAAGGATCCAGTTTTGTTGCACACTGACAAAATAGGCTCACGTAAACGCAGTAAAACAAGAATAAATTGTGCACAACTCTTGTGCAGATAAAGCGCATTTTTTTAACCGAAATAGCTTTTGTTTTGACATCACCAATGGATATATTTCTTGCAGACGTCTCAATCGCTCTTTGTGAGCACCCTCTTCCGACAATCCGTTCTTGAGGTATAAGGGAATATACCCGATCACCATAAGAGGTCGAGGAGGAGGGCCATGGTTGGTAGAAATTAATTCCTTTCGTTGAGACCTTTCATTAGAGTACCATTAAGGATAAAACTATTTCCTAGAAATTCTAATGAAAGAATGAACAGAATACCATGAAGGGTAGAACATGTGCCCCCCCCCCCCATTTCCTAAGGTTTAACTTAGCACCACTAAAGGCATGCGTATGCAAAATCTGAGACCAATTGTTTGTCGTATGTAAAAGTTAGGCACGTTTTATTTTCAACAACAGCATCTCAGGAAATAATTTGTAGGAGGGGGGGGGAGGTAGACCGCGAAATTTGATGACCGTCTGGCACACCTTCAAGGTATAGGCTACCTACTGCAAAAATTCCAGGATTCTAGGACCATTCCCCTAGAAGTAGTTCAAAACGGTAGAAGTGGGTCCGGACAGACGGACGGACGGAGGGACAAAACGCAAACAATAGCACATTTTTTTTAATTTTTAAAAAAATGCGCTAAAAAATTATTATTATTATTTTATTAACATTTCCAGTCCAGGTTAGATAGTTATGGGCCGTTCAAAAATACTAGCAACAATATCAGGAGAAAAACTAAATTGAAGATACCAATGTATTAATGTCTCTTAAATTTGTGGAGAATATAATGCATAAAATCCGGTTTTGCCAATTCTTGTAATTATATACCTACCTGCTGCAGCGTTTATATCAAGGCAGTGACGAAAAAACGCCGAAACAAAGGCGACAATGCGCGACGCCGTGCGGTCCATCCCACACGATTCCCCGTCGAAAAACTTATCTTTCAATGTTGCCATTTTAGATAGTGTATGGTTGGTTGCCTAAGTGGCAGTAAGCTTCATTTTATCATTATTTTTGTCGGTGATCGTACATATTTAACAAAATCTTTGCGGAATCTTAATAATACTGCCACTACGTGTAACTCTCACCATAATCATTTGAAAGTGACTCTGCCTGTTTATCTTTAAGAAATCTTGAACTAGGTACGCTGAACTCTTCCTTTATCATCTCCAGAAAAACAGCTTCGTCATTCAACTGCAGTTCGTGCTCTTCTTCTGGAACATTTGTATCACACTCCAGTGGATACAGTCTTTGGACCGGTTTGAACAGCTCACCACGTGATGTTTTAATTTTCACCTTTTTTCTACCCACTCCACTAAATATTCAATACCGTTCCCGTAGCATACCAAACAAACCTTGGACTCTTACACGACAAAACTCCTTATGTTTCTCCAAAATCCAGTTGTGAACAACTGGGTGCGTACTGAGCAAAATAAGATATCTGATGTATTCGTGTATTTGGTCTATTTGCTACTCTCAGTTCAATTCTGATTAAGCCAAATTCGTCATCTCTGGGTTTCAAACTTTTAATCTGAGTATCATCAATACCATAGGAACATTCTTTTTCCACCTCCTTTAAAATAAACTTTCCTGAACATTTACCTGAACATTAATAGTGTAGGGCTATTTTCTTTACATTCGTATAAGCATTGAGGTCCCTCCCGCCATTTTGAAAACAGTAACTGCTTGGGAGTCCATCCATGAAAGGGCAAATCTGCAGCATTACAAACTCCTGGTATGTGAAGCCAAGGGGTTAATTTCTTATTTCTGATACTCTATTACTTATACACGAATGTTTCCCATTCTTCATTACGTTGAATCCATGAGATGAGTGTGGACGAATCATTCCAGACATAATTTTATAACATGCCATTTAATTTTTCTGCTTTCGAGTGTTTCTTATCACTGAAAATTTTCGATTTTTCGTGGTCTGATATCCCGAAACCCTCGTTGGATAGAACAATCCTTTGTTCTTTTTCAACCTCTGATCGCAAAAAAAAACCTAACAAGTTTTTAAGTCTTATCTCCAATGATGACTCACTATTACGGTCAATGTCACATCATGACACGAACTCGGAAATTAAAGTACTCGACCCCAAAGGTGCCTCGCACTACAATATTTGCTCGTCAGCAATGTATCATTTTCCTGACTTTTATGTAAAAAGATTTGAATAGAAAATGTTTAGATTTTTCAATAAATTAAAAACCACGGAATTGTCTCATTTGCACACAAGTGTAAATCGTGGTTAGATGCTTATCGGGAGCTATAGGTACAAACAGTGGACAACAAGATCAACGACCACAGGCTTCGATAAATTGGAAGGTTATCAACAAGATTTGATGAAATAGCTCACTACGAAGACTTGTTGCAAACAATACGCGAATAGTCGAAGTTCTGGTAGGTAAATTATCCCTGGGGAACGTGGTCCGTTGGTTACATTTTGCGTTACTATATCTGCATCCGGTAATACAATTCCACCTATCTAAATTTATCCCTGTGTCCCAATGAAACCCAGTTATCTTCCATACAACATACCCGGTTCTGAAGCGCGTGTTTTGAAGAACGATTGGATTAGTATTCTACGAAGCCGTACACGGGTCACATATACACTTGGTGTTCTTCTTCTACAAAAAAGTGAAAATTTCGCCAAAAAAGTGAACATTTCTACAAAAAAGTGGAAATTTCTACAAAAAAGTGGAAATTCCCACAAAAAAGTGGAAATTTCGACAAAAATATTTGATGGCCTTTAAAATGATGGGTCACTCGATGGGGCGGCGGGGGAAGGTCAAATTTCTGCTTTGTTGTCGCCGCTTTCACTTTTTTTCGAAATTTTCACTTTTTTGTCGAAATTTCCACTTTTTTGTTGAAATTTCTACTTTTTTGTGGGAATTTCCACTTTTTGTAGAAATTTTCACTTTTTTGTGAAAATTTCCACTTTTTTGTCGAAGTTTCCACTTTTTTTGTCGAAATTTCCACTTATTTTTGGAATAAGAACACCAAGTGTGTGTATGGCCCGTGTACGGCTTCGTAGTATTCAACTATTATAATGTAAACAACTTGCGGATAATAGTCGGAATGAATCTGATATCACTATAATGAGTAAGTACGCCAGAAGCATTCACCGGGTGAATATTCCAAAACCGAACATCCACAATTAACATGGGAAAAAGGTTTTTTGCAGATTGTTGCTCCCAGTGGCGGATTTACGTATAGGCACACTAGGCACTAGAGGGCGGCATTTTTTACACTATATTTATTTTAGGTAACATTTTAAGTTTTAAAATAAGTCCCCTAACAAGTTACAAATGACAAAAATGTTTAATTAAAATTATGAAATAAATTGGAATTGGTAAATAGTTTCTTTTCATATTGGTTTTCAAAATTTCATGTTATAATTTGATTTTTATTTTAAAATTTAATGCAATTTAAAGATTATTTTGGGGCGCATATCTTTCGGTGTGCCTACGAGCGCAAAAAATTTAAATCCACCACTGGTTGCTCCTCATGAGAAAAAATCTTCTGTCGATTGGTGTCATTATAAACCCACTAAGTTAACTAAGTAAAATCACAATCTAAAGCTAAAAATAGGATTGAATGAAAGATGTAAATTTAAAGCGAATTCGGGTTCATTCCTTATTTTTTACTAAATATTTATTTATTTATTCGTGAGAGAGGAGAATCTAATGTGTTTTTTACCCTGTATGATTCGATTAACCACTTATACCATGGAGAAATCACCTAATACAGTTCTGATTGTTCGAAGTGCCTGTTTCTTTCTCGTCACGTGAGGACTGCAGATAGTGCGTGTTGCACAGAAATATTTTATTTTTGCGTTTGCGCGACCGTGGCCACGTAAAGTTAATGCAGTATAGTTTGAATTAAAGAATTTTCCAGGGACGTAACACAGATCTTGTATCCGGACACTTGAACTATCAAAGGTGAATTAATAAAACGTTGATTGTTGCTGTATTCTTATAATTGTTAAATTTTTCTATAGGTTATCGATTTCGGCACTAGGCCATCGTCAGACCTTGCTGAAATTACGTGCTCCTACATCGATAATATCAAAGGTGAACTCTGAAGCCTGACCGTTGAGTGATAGCTGAAGCTCGGATGGTAAAGATTGAATCGCGTCTGATTCAGAAAGTATGAATCCTGTAACATGTCTCCTGCACCTCCATCTTGTAGGCTCATCCTACAAGCTAAGCTGATTGATTTTTTCTTCTGACATTCCATAGAAAGTCGTCCCTTTCCAATACATAGCTTATGCTTATCAGAAAAAGAAAGTGGTTCAATAGTAGTGAATTGCATAACAAAAATCACACATGTCTCTTAGCCTAATGAAGAGGTATGAAACCGATCAATTTATGGAACCAACTTTCCAAAAGTACTCTAATTAGCCAGTACCGTAAAAAATTAAACGCTAATGAGTTATTCAGAGCAAATACCTAAACATTGCCCAAATGTGTATTAATAGATTATTAAATGATTCGGAAGCTTCAGATGGTGATGGACATAACATTAATAGTCGAAAAGAGTAGGCAGTCCACCGCGTACCTATACCTATATTAGAATTATTTATTAGTAGTGCTTGCAGTACCTACTGCTGTGCACGCGCCGTATATTTCGCATTTCCG